TTGTTTGGTAATTGTTCTCTGAATAACAACAAATTACCATTTTAACCCTCGAGACAAAGGAGTTCCATTCTAATCAAACTAAGGTTATCCAATTCACAAAAGAGTCCATACAACATAAAAGCACAGAATTGGTACTGGACTACTACAGACCACCCCCTTTAACCTAGCCAAGAATCGAAATTTGTAGCAAACAGGTGTGCATTTGCCTTCAATTTTACAAACACTGTTTCATAAATGCATTTGCTGTTGTCCAATTTCACTTTTTTGCTAAATCCAAACATGAAATACTTTACACCGGCGACCGACGATTTCTAGCGTTCGAACTGTTAAGAAATAGAACCAAAATCATCCAAATATACCCTATTGTGTTCAAGTGAAGCTACTATTAAGCATACCGGTGATTTCTAGCGTTCCTACTGTTAAGAAATAGAACCAAAATCATCCAAATATACCCTATTGTGTTCAACTGAAGCTACTGTTAAGCATACTGGCGACCGACGATTTCTTCATCCAAAACAGAAGATAGATGAAAGATTTGGAGACAGAAGATATCTGATGGAGGCGAGCGGCGAAGCTGTGGAAGGCGACCGGCGATGGAGACGGTGGTGGTCACTGGCGATGGAGACTCGGGAGGCAACAACTGGCTGACCTGGGGAAGGGGACGAGACTCGTGAAGGCGACGTTAATAGAGAATGGGACGGCTGGAAGAGTGGTGTGGAGGGGTAAAGAGGGAGCAAATGCAATCTGAATGGTTTAGTGAAGCTCTAGATGCAAAATGGTTAAGAGGTTATTGTAACTATTAAGATGGTTTTTTTTTTTTTTTTGCCAAATAGACCTTACCTCTTACCGATTAAGAGGTTGGTTCTTAATGTCACCGTTAAGAGCCAAACATACAGCCCCTTACCTTTTTTATCATATGGTTTATAAAAGATTGCTACTTTCGTCACTAAGGTTTTTGAAGTTACGTTTTGTGTCTATATGGTTTACAATTAATTGTTATTTTCATTTATGAGACTAACAAGTTATTTGTTTAACACTTACCCAGTAAGTTACCGGGACAAATCAACAGTTTTCCTAACTTGCTGGGTAAGATTTTTGTCTATTAAAGCGGCATTGTATGAAACATTTTTATCCGATAAGCACTTAATGAGTAAGAGTTATCACTCTCACTTATTGAGTAAGGTTGTTGGTCATTGTTATTGTTCTTACCGGGTAAGATTTTCAACTCTTGTCATATTCATTCGATCTGATAAGCGTTTAGTAAACAACCCCTAACTCCTATATTTAAGTACGAGAGGACGAAAATAACAATGAATTATTAAATACAGAACAAGAACAACAATAAATCACAAATCACAAGGATGAAAATAACAATAAGTTATAGAACACAGAGAGGAAAATCATAATTTCAAAAGCATATGGACCAAAATAGCAATAATCAACAAACCATAGGGACTAAAACGTAATTTCAAGAAACCATAGGGACCAAAATAGTAATAATCATCAAACCCCATTATGACTAGATGTTTTTTTTGTGTAATAAGATCAAACTTTGAGGGGTGTAAAAGAAAATTACACTCTCTATAAGAGCTTCTCTTCTTTGATATGTAATGTAAAATCTATCATAGTTGCAAGTTGCAGTCTGTGCTTTCTTTCTCTCAAGTGTTCATCAATGGCGGCTTTTGCGAAGCTTGTACTCAAGAGAAGAAACTTCTTCGTCTCCGGACAAAATTTGATCGGATCTAAATTCTATACATCTCAACCGTTGCCGGAACCTTCATTTGCTCGGAGAATTAGAGATCTGCCCAAAGATCTACCTGGCACTAACATCAAAAAAGACGTTTCTCAGGTAAATTTGAGCTCTCGATATCTTCCTCTTGTGTTTATGGAGCTTTTCCTATCGTCTTTCATTTTTCTATTTGAATTAAACAGATGCATTACGTTCTGATTCGAAATTTCTTCTTAAACATGTGACTGTTATTTGGTTTTTTGATGATTTGATGCTATGAAACTTGTTCTACCTTTCGCTATTTTCCTTATGTGTGTACGGAGCTGAGCTTTCTCGCTCGTTTTTCATTTTTCTCTATTTGTTAAACAGATGCATCTCGTTCGATTTCAAGTTTCTTCTTAAACATGTGACTGTTATTTGGTTTTTTCGATGATTTGATGCCATGAAAACCATTCTAGCTCTCGCTATTTTCCTCTTGTGTTTATGATTCTTTTCCGATCGTTTTTCATTTCTCTATTTGAATTAAACAGATGCATTTCGTTCGATTTCAAAATCGTGCTTAAATCTGTCTGTTATTTCGTTTTTTTGATGATTTGATGCTATGATAATTGTTAGCATGTTTTGGTTTTGGGTTCCTGAAAGCATTTGATATATATATTTTTTCTGGTAAGTATTAAATTGAAGATGGCTTGTGTATTTTATGTACGATCGCCATCGATTATATGAATTTGAGTTTGGAGTTTTTTGTTTTGTGGCTATAAACAAGATATAGACGAGATTTTCGACTATTGGAGGAAAACTAGGCGCCCATCGTGTTTTTTTTTTTATTTAAAAAAAAAGTATTATCCTGTTTTCAAAATAGTTTCTAATAAGTACTTCCTCATCTTAAAGTACAATAAAGCTTGGGTCTTTTGAGTAACATTTGGGATCCTTGGGATTCTCGTAAGTATTCTTCAGGCTTTTGAAATTAGAAGTTGTTTGTTTATTATTAAGACACAATATTTAAATCGTTAAGAGATGAATCCTGTTTGATAAAAAAAAAGTATGTTTTTAATGGTTCTAAAATCATTTGAATAGTTTTGTATCATAGGTCTTCTTTTAACACCATTCGTAACCTTAATTTCGTTGTAAATAATTACCAAACAATTATATTTTATTTTGCATTATATTATGAGAATCTCTTAATTATTCTGATCACTTAATCGTTTACATCAAACTATTCATCAACTGTCAAAATAACCCCTTAGTTGAGGTGTATGCAAACTAATTTGACAATCTACAGTTAACAAAAGGAATATTTATAATAAAAATATATTATAATTATAGAAATATGCAGTTATTTTATTTTTTTAATTAACTAAACAACATTTTTTTTGCACAAAGTTATAGAAAAATATATATTTTTACAACTCCTAATTAACGATAGAAAAATAAATATAAGCAGAATGGTTAAGTGGTCAGAATGGTTAAAAAGGCCAGAATGGTTAAGTGCTGAGTGAAATAATGTTGTTTGGTAATTGTTCTCTGAATAACAACAAATTACCATTTTAACCCTCGAGACAAAGGAGTTCCATTCTAATCAAACTAAGGTTATCCAATTCNATTCACTTTTTATGAAAACAACAAAAATCAAACAATATTTTGTTTCGAAACAATATGAAATATAATGTTTTTATAGTATTTTATTTCTAGTTGATTATAATCTATACTATTTTTTTTTAAGTATATAATATTTATATACGGTAAATTAAATAAATAAACTTACACACCCTTCTCATATTTGGTGAGGTTTGAACCCTTGACCTCCTAGAAGGCCAATGACTCACATACCACTAAGTCAAAGACCCTTTGGTGATTATAATCTATACTATATTATAAAGCATTTGACAAAAATTCTTAAAAACCATTTTCAATGTATGAAGTAATGTTTATTGATGCATATTACTTAAAATTCAAGATTACAAGTAAACTGTGCATAAATGCATCTTATTAAAGCTTCATGTTTGAATTCGTGTAACTAACTTCAGATAAACATAATCAAATAGAGAATAATCATTTTATTTTAAATATATAAAACTAAAATAATTAGGATAATCATTGAGTTCTAACAAAATACTTAATTATTATCTTTATAAAAAAAATATTATTAAACCAAAAATAAAAATAAAATTAAAGAAATACACAAAAAAAAAATAGAAATTTTAAATAGTTATTGGCCACCAATCAAGTAATGGGGAATATATAACATCGACTAAGACAAAAAAAAACCCATGAAAATCGAGATTATCTCGCTACATTGTGCGAGTATCTTTCTAGTATAATTTTAATGTTGATGTGTTATTTAAGAACTAAAAATTAAAATCTCTCTAAAGCATTACATTTAATAGTAAAGATTCTTTATTTTTGAGAATTAAACATAAAATATATTATCATAATATTGTCTAATTTATCATCTCTATACATTTTAAAAAGAAACTGTATTTAAAATAATAATAATTCAATTTCATTGGTGTGGAATTGAATAAAATAAAATTGTTAATGAGCGGAACGACTTGCTAGATCCGTCTTGTCCGGTCTGCTTGGAAAAGCAGGCTTGGGCTACTGTTATCAAAGAAATGGGCGGGTCAGACTAACTTGTCCGTTAATCCTTAGACAAGTCTAACCTCTTTTACAAGACGGATATGGGCAATTTTTCATGTCCATAATAAAAAGCTTAAGTTTGTTAGACAAGAAATTTTTTTCACATTAAAATAGTATAAAGTAAAGCAATCATCCATTGGGTGATTAAATATTAATTATGTTTTATTTTAAAATTGTACATTTAATTTTCTATTCAGGGGTGCTTTTCTTTTATAAGAACAATAAAGCATAGAATAAACGATGATATTTTTTTTGTAAAAGCATTTCTTTTGCACATTTTCTTCATCTATAAACGTAAACAGTGATATTTTTTATTTGATATTAAAAACTTATTTGACAAGATTTTTGTTTCTTTTTAATATGATCAAAAATTTGAATCATAAAGATGGTGTTTGATCAGTCTGAGCTTGGGCTCCAAAGATTAAAGATGATTGGAGGTCCCGGATTTAAATCCAAAAAGAAATAAAAATTCTCTTGTGGCCACAGAGGTCCAAAGGACCACCTGAAGCAAAGCATGGTCGATTTGAGATTAATCGGCTCGTATAACGGGTTGAATATCCTGGTTAACAAAAAAATTGTTTTTTTTTTATTAAAGTATAGATAATTATGGAACAATGTTTTATAATTTTATTTTTAATCTGATTAAAAAGCATAAATAAATAACCAAAAAAGAACCGCATTAGGAAGGGTAATGGTGTATAAGTGGAATGGAAAGAAGCTCAAGTGGATAAAGGTTATTTTGGTAAATTTCATGAGTCATCCCGTAAGACAGGCCATGTGTTTAAGTACTTGTAGTGCCTGTACGATATTTATGTAATTTGACTACTGTGCACCATAATGTTTAAGTACCTTGTAGTGCCTGTACAATATTTCTGTAATTTGACTACTATGCACAAACACGTGCAACAATACTTCTTTTTGGGTCAAACCTTGGTCAACACGACCAAGCAAGGTGACTTGAGGCGTTTCTCGGTCGAGATGACGTGGCATGCAAGTTGCAAATTGGCGTCTCATGGTCCAGAGACAAATCCAGAAATTTTTTCAAACTGTGGCATCATTTGACTATAAGAAAAAAATATAGGGAAAAAGTTTCAAACGGTGACACCATTTGACTATAAGAGACAAATGTAAATAATTTTTTCAAACGGTGACATCATTTGACTAAGGAAATGATACTAACAAGATTCGAACTTGGGTTTAGGGTGGAATAAAAACCTTGCAAACCAACTCTATCAAATAAAACTTGATCTCATTGTAGTTTCAAAATACATACAGTGGCACATAATAGATTAATACGGTTGCACCTTTCACATACCTAAATTTTTTTACCATTCGACGGAGGAATAATACGGTGGCACATGCGACCGTAAGCACCACTATAGGTCCGTCCCTGCCGTGGTCACGCCCTAAGTCGCGGGGGCCTATTTAGTCACCAATGGCTCGCTTGCTCTTTATGATACTATGCAATTTGTGCAACTAGAAAAAAGCCGAGCTTTTATTCTTAGAGAGCTCGATAGCAATACCGATGAGATCTGTGAAACATAAGGGTGCCTTCGGGAATGTGGACACTCACTATCCACGACAAAAGTTGGATCCTAGGTGTAGATAGCAAGTTACAATTTTTTGTCTTGGTAGTAGTGGCCACTTCGTCTTTGTGACTCACACCATGCGATCTCATGTGGCTAGCTTAGGTCATTTATGTTGCTTGGTCGTAGCGACCTGGTGTGGTGTGCAAGTTGCACCTTGTGACCCATTGACCTCCTACACGACATAAACTCGCAACCCACCGAAAAGTGCCTCGTTGGCCACCTCACAATTCACACCATACGATCTCGCGTGGTTAGCCTAGCTAGGTCTGTCCGTCTATATACGACCCTAAAATCTCATGAAAACTCAGTTCTAATCCGTTTCTTTCGACTCTTTTGCATTATAACACCGACTCCATGTAAAATAACTCCAGTTAACACTTAGGGGTTGTTGACCTAAATGCTTACCCGATAAACGCTTATAGTTAGAAATCAACACTATAATTTATTTTCTAGGTAAGATTGTAGTATATTAAAATTGTATCGTGTGCAACAATATATATGGTAAGCACTTACCGGGTAAGACTCTATATCCTTATCATCGTTCTTACCCAGTAAGATTCTTGGGTTTTGCCATGTTCATCTATTGAGGAAAATTATTCGGTAAACACCTAACGGGTAAGCGTTTAGTAAACGGCCCCTTAATTCACGATTTCATAACATTTAATGCATAAATTCCATAATGTACACAGCATTCAAAGCTTGTTTTTTTTATTTATATTTGAGAAAACTACAATTTTTGACCTTGTTGTTTGCTAAAAAAATCAGTTTTTATCCCTGAACTTTTAAAATTAACGTTTTCATCTCTATGATTTGCATTTTCTTGTTATTTTCGTCTTGAGACTAACTTCGTCAATAATTTACTGTCAAGTATTAGAGACGAAAATAATGATGAATTGTGAACTATGAGGATCATAAGTGTAACTTCAAAAACATGAAGACGAAAATAACAATTTTTAACAAACCACAAGGACGAAAACCTATTCTTTATTTTTTTTCAGGGTAAAACTTTAATTTGGAGTAAATTACGTTTTCCATGGTTTGTTGAAAATTACTATTTTTTGTTCTTGTACTTCTGATATTACGATTTTCATCTCTATCATTTACAGTTCATTTTTATTTTATTTTTATGATTTACAGTTTATTGTTGTTTTCATCCCTTCTACTTAAAAGTAGTAATTAGCATCAGGGATGAATGTTTGAGATTGCTTATAAAAACAACTTATTGACTTATTCCGGTGTGACATCGGTAATAAGCACTTTTGAGTGTTTGGATAAACGACTTCCACCGGTGCCAAACCGGTAATAAAAAGTTTTTGAAGAATTTAAACCATTCTAATTTACAATAAGTTGATAAGAATTTTTGTAAAAAAACATAAGTTGTTTCAAATAAGCAAATCCCAACACCCCTAACTCTATATTATTTTGGGTTCAAAATCTAATTTTTAATTATATTTTCAAATCTAACCCTTGAAATATCAGCTTATTGGAAAAACACCCCTTGTATACCTCAACAAAGTCACAGAGGGTTGTGGTGCTTATGTAGCAGTCAAGCAAGAAATGTTTCAACCAACTTCTAGCATCAAAGACAGGTCAACTCTCTCACTCTATTTTATTTTTATTGTAAATTTAAAAAGTCAACTTTTGACTTTTTAACATCATATAGGACAAAAGCAATTTATTTTCTATGAAATATTTGTCGACCATAATCTAACTTATTTAATGAGTTTATGGAAAAAGTTCTTTTTGATCAGTTATCAGTTGATTTTTTAAAAAACTACTTCAAGTAGATTTTCAATAAGGTCTACGGGTTTTTTTCCGGCTACACCCCTTATGTTTTTTTAGTTAAAATTCCAACTTATCTTCTTAGGTCATTTTACATTGTTATCTAACTTATCAGCTAGGCTTTACCAAACATTATTGGTCAGTAGCTACTTATTAGCAACTAGTTATTCATCCCGTTGTTAGCTTATCAGTCAACAATTTGCTTGTCAGTTAACTTCCCAAACATAACCGAAGTCAAAAGTATTGAACTTGTTTAAATTTGTCATTAGGCCTGCGCTTTCTATGATGAATGATGCAGAAGAGAAAAACCTGATCACGCCCGGAAAGGTAAACTAGTTTCGAAACAATTCTTGAATCGAGATATTTGAGATTAAGTACGATTAACGTGTGTACTCTAATGGTTCTAGACGGTGTTGATTGAACCCACATCGGGAAACATGGGAATCAGTATGGCGTTCATGGCCGCTTTAAAAGGGTACAAGATGGTGTTGACGATGCCCTCATACACAAGCTTGGAACGGAGGGTCACAATGCGAGCATTCGGAGCCGACTTGATCCTCACTGATCCCGCTAAGGGGATGGGAGGTACCGTTAAGAAAGCATACGATCTTTTGGAGAAAACGCCAGACGCTTTCATGCTTCAACAATTCTCGAACCCTGCAAACACTAAGGTAAGTTTCATCACAATTATCGTACCAAATAATACTCAAATTGGTTTTTTATCACAGACTAATCACTTCTCTTATAAAACACACACAAAAAAAAGTTATAGGTTGCACGATGAGTAACATCCATCAAAAGACTTGGGATATGTGGGATAAGGCTGTTTCGTGAGACACGATTCTTATATTTGAAACTTCATAACAAAACACTGTGAAGATAACATTCCCCGTGTTTTTGCTGTGAAGATTCGGTTTTTTTTTACCTTCACAACATTTTGTTGTAAAGTTTCAAGTGTAAAATTCGTGTCTCACGAAAATAGTCTTGTCTCACGTGAACCCAACCCTGCATCAAAATTTGCCTTAATTTCTATTTAATGTAATAAATATTAGTTCTTTCTATTTCATACGCATTTTTATCTAATAACCTTCTGGTGTCGGTTAATTTTGATGGGGTATTTTTCACATAATAAAAATTACTAATAACTTGATAACTTGTCATATGCGTCGTAATTAGTTACAAAATCTACCAATTGTCGGTCAAAATCAATACATAATACAAATAATTGAATGTTTGTTACAGGTTTACACTAAGTGAAAAAAAATGCATTTTACATTAAATAAGAACTAAGTGGTTGTTTGTTTACCTCTTAATAGTTCCATTAAGAGGCAACCTCTGAATTGCTAAGAAGTGAATTGGCAAAAAAAATCTGTCTCTTAATGGTTCTAAAACTCTCTGAATGATTTTGTATTTTGGATTTTCCTTAACCATTCAACACAATAATTTCATTCTGAATAATTACTAAATAATTATATTTCATTTTGCACTATATTATATGAGCCTCTTAATCATTCTGAAAAAAAACCATTCAGAAGACAACACAGAGTGGAAATGGTCCAAGTGATCCCAGGTACCCATGAATTCCTACACTTGTTGAAAATGCCATAAAACACAACAACTGCCAAACAGTTCCTAAAGCAAATTTCGTTACATTTTTAACATTTGCATGAATCAATTATTTCCGCTATGTAATAATAATAGAAACACATAGTCAACACTTGTTCATTCATGCATGGTGTAGTGTTTTTCTTACTACTTCTGTAAAAATAATGATTAGTTTGTAACGGAAAGTAGAATACTACAATAAAAAAACCGATCATGTCGGAAACTTTTTATGCATGTTTGTTTTGACATCATGTGATGATGAAACAGGTTCATTTTGAAACGACTGGTCCGGAGATTTGGGACGATACAAACGGTAAAGTTGACATCTTTGTGATGGGGATAGGAAGCGGAGGCACAGTATCTGGCGTCGGCCAATATCTTAAATCGAAAAATCCTGATGTTAAGGTGAGTCCCGTTTAAAATTTTAACTTTTACTTACACGTACATGTTATCGTACGGTTAGAGAGTATTGCAATCAATCAATAGTTATCGCATATAGTTTCTTCGACCAACAGTCAGAGAATCTCTAACATATTTTCTAAAACAAAGAAAATGAAGAGTTTTGAAGTTTTTATTCAATTTTTGTTCTAACAAATCATTATAATCTTTCTCCAAAGTAGAAAAATAGGAGTGAGATATAAAAAAATCTCTAAATTCGAAGAATTCTCAAATATTAAGGGGCCATTTACCAAACGCTTACCTGGGTAAGTGCTTACCAAGTCACATTAACGAACAAGAACATTAGATGGTAAGAACGAGAGACAAGGACCAAGTCTTGCCCAATGAAGGCAATGACTCATACCATGGTTAGTGCTTACAGGGTAAATTGTTGCATACAATGCCTTTTTTTTTTGACTAAAATCTTATAATATAAGTAAGTGATAGTGTTGAATTTTACAGGTAAGTGTTTATCGGGTAAGTGTTTTATAAACAACTCCTAAGCGCTGAAAAGAGAAAAATATTATTTTATTGTTTTGAAATTGCTATGTTACATGTATAAAAGTTTATTTGAAAGGTTGTTTTTGGAGATTTTAATGTTTAGAAATTATAATAAATTTGTTAGAGATGCCCAAAATGCTCTAACATGCTCCATGGCCCCACCCAAGATGTAAAACATACTTTAGGTTTGTTTGTTTTCCTTTTAATAGTCTGAAGTGTTAATAGGTGAATCTTGTTTTTGTTTATCTCTTAATAGTCTGAATCGTTAAGAGGTGAATCTTGTTTGGCAAAAAAAAGTCTGCGTCTTAATGGTTAAAAAACCCCCTGAATGATTTTGTATCATAGGCCTCCCTTAACAATTCAGCGCCCTAATTTCATTGTAAACAATTACCAAACAATTATATTTCATTTTGCACTATATCATAAGAGTCTCTTGATCATTCCGAACACTTGATCATTCAGCAACTTGCCAAACAGCCCCTTTATGTGCTCCAGGAGAACCTATGAGAACTTTTATATTCGTTAATACATATATACTATAAAAATATGTATTATGTAAGTAAATATATGCACTAACTTGGATATCCAACCTGTTATACAAGCCGACTAATACCAGGGCGACCATGCTTTGCGGGTAGCCCGGAGTCACCGCATATAAACCTCTGTGGCCACAAGGGGATTTTTATTCCTCCTTAGATTTGAACCTGGGACCTCCAGGCAATTTTGACTTTTGGAGTCAAGCTCAAACCAATCAGACACCACCCTTTAGTTAAGTATATGTGCATTGATGTGTATACTCAGTGAAATTCATTAGTGCATATGTATAAATGAATATACAAGTTCTTACAGCTCTCAAATTTTATGGTTTTAACGTGAATTGTCCAGAGTAGACATGCTTTATGCTATTCTTAATATATTTTTTTCGTTATAAGCTATTTCTATATCTTGATTTAAGCCCATATTGGATGTTATTAAAATTTCATTGAAAATTCGCATTCGATATAGATTTATGGACTCGAGCCTGAAGAAAGCAATGTACTAAATGGTGGCAAACCAGGTAAGTTTATATTGTTTTCTTCCGGTTTCTCATGATGTTATATGTTTTACCTTTTTACCCTTCATCGTTTAGATTTCTGATACACCGTTATTGTATAGGACCTCACCAAATAACAGGAAATGGGGTCGGATTCAAACCCGATATCTTAGACATGGACATAATGGAGGAGGTTCTTATGGTAAATCTATCAACAAATTTTTGTAATATTTCAAACGGTAAATTGTACGAAAATACAATGTATTTAGACCAAAATATGTCACGCAATATAAAAATAAGATAAAATAAGCTACATTTTCATGTGTTCTCATATATAAACTGAAGACGAAAGATCGTGTGAGAAGATAAGTTATTGTGTGAAGCGTAAGAAGAGATCTAATCTTATTTCCATCCATGAATTGCGCTTTAGAAATGAATTGATCCGGTGCAACTCGGTACACCTCATTAGTGTTGACATTCAATTAGGATTAATCTAAGGGTGAAGATCTCTTTCTACACTTCTCAACATAACTTCTCTTCTCACCGGAACCCAACTGTATTCTTAAATATTTGACATTGGTTGCAGGTGTCCAGTGAAGATGCAGTAAACATGGCCAGAGAATTGGCCTTGAAAGAAGGGCTTATGGTAATAATTATTTTTTATTTTCTCCTAAAAATTAAGGAAATTATGATGCATTATATTTGTTTTCATAAATATGATTTTGATGTATATTTAATATAATTTTTTTATTAACAATTAAAAAAATTTAAAATATCATTTTATATTGAAATCACATGATCATATGGCCGACTTTGACTGAACACATCTGTTTATTATTCGTGTTTTATAATTATATGTGATTTCAGTATAAAATCACATATGATTTTGTCTTTCTCGTATTTTTTTATCAAGAAAACTCTGAAGCACTCTAGTTCAGACTTCTGAACGTTTGAATTCTTGCACAAATTTATAATTATTAGCTTTGAAGCACTCTAGTTCAGATTTCTGAACATTTGAATTCTTGCACAAATTTATAATTATTAACTATCGTATTTCAGAGTTTTTCTTGAAACTATAGAACACACTAGTTCAGACTTCTGAAAGTTTGAATTCTTGCACATATTCAGAATTCGTAACCATCGTATTTCAGAGTTTTTCTTGAAACTCTGAAACACCCTAGTTCAGACTTCTGAACATTTGAATTCTTGCACAAATTTAGAATTCTTAACTATCGCATTTCAGAGTTTTCTTGAAGCTCTGAAACACCGTATTTCAAACTTCTGAATGTTTGAATTCTTGCACAAATTCAGAATTCTTAACTATCGCATTTCAGAGTTTTTCTTGAAACTCTGTAACACCCTAATTCAGACTTTTGAACGTTTGAATTCTTGCACGAATTCAGCATTTTTGACAATGTTCTCGTTTAAACCTCGTTCGATGAAGGATGACTTTGCTAAAGCTTGTTAAATATATTATGTGGTATTTTGGGGATATTTTTTTGTAGGTTGGAATATCATCAGGAGCAAATACTGTTGCAGCATTAAGACTTGCTCAAAGGCCAGAAAATAAAGGCAAACTCATTGTGGTAATTCATTTATTTTCTCTTTAATATTTATTACAACTTTTTAGTATCTTATAAAATTACAACACTTTTTTAAAAAACATTTCTCACAATTTTTTTAAAGAAAAATGTAATTTATAAATTTATAAAAAATTAAATGATTTTTATTTTGTGTAACAATAATTTTATATATATATATATATATTTAAAATCTTATAAAAATCATAATTTTTTTTTCTAAGGTTTTCTCCTGATTTTATCTATTTTTTTTAAACAAAAATATGTTTTTTTAAATTTAATTAGCCGTTAAATACTTTTATTAAAGGGTAAATTGAATGAAAAAGTAACGTACTTTAACTTGATTCTTATTTTGGGTAACGTACTTTCGAAACTTCCATTTTGATATCTAAGATGTAAAATTTTAAGCATTTAAGTATCCGGATGAGAGGTTGAAGCATTAACCGGTTACCATGCTAATGTGGCGAGTGATGTGGTATCCAGTTAATGTTTCAGCAAATAATACTGAGTTGAATATCACATCACTCGCCGTATTATCATGGTAACCGGTTAATGCTTTGACCGGTTAATGCTTTGACCGGTTATCTGGTTACTTAAATGTTTAAAACTTTACATTTTAGGTACCAAAATGAAAGTTTTAAAAGTACGTTTCCTAAAATAGGAATCAAATTAAAGTATATTATTTTTCATGTAATTTGCTCTTTATTAAAGGTCAAACTATAACATATTTTGCCTTAACCTAAAGGGCCTTTGGCCTAACGGTATATAAGTCTTTGGCCTCCTTGAAGGTCAGAAGTTCAAATCTCACCAAAGATAAGGAAGGTGTATGAATTTATTTATTCTATTACTGTATATAAATATTATATACTTTAAAAAGAAATTATTAATTAATATAATAAACTTTCAATTATTAGCGGTTCATATTCATTTTACCCATTAACCAGTAGATTTTATAAATAATGATGACATGCATGACAAGTTATCAATTAAACTCAAAATAAAATAAGTTTTTTTTTTTAAAGAACGATTGAGACCCGATCAAGCTTCGGCATTGCCATCACGTGATTGATAATCAATCATATCATTAAAATTGTGCTTGTGACAAAAGTCGTTAATACAATGTAAAAAGGAAAGACGGAGTTACATAAAAAACTTTAGGACTAAGGGGCCGTTTACCAAACGCTTACTCGAGTAAGCGCTTACCAAATAACATTATCTCACCAAATGAACATGGTAAGGACCAAGAATCTTATCCGGTAAGAACGAGACAAAGACCAAAAGTTTTATCCGGTAAATGAGGACGATGACTCTTACCACGGTAAATGCTTACCGGGTAAATTGCTGCATACAATGTCGTTTTGGTGGACTAAAATCTTACTCGGTAAGTAAATAATAGTGTTAAATTTTACTGGTAAACACTTACCGGATAAGTGTTTGGTAAACGGCCCCTAAAATAAATAACGAGAGTGCCTCGTAATTAACTTTTGTTTTTCATATATATATATATATGTATATTGTTTTTTATTAAATTATTCCTTGATAAATAAAAAGTAATTATTAATTATTTAATTTTATTTTATTTTATTTTTCTCAGACCATTCATGCAAGTTTTGGAGAGAGGTATTTATCATCTGTGTTGTTTGAAAAATTGAGGAAAGAAGCAGAAGAAATGCAACCAGTTTCAGTTGATTAGTGGAATTTTTTACAAGTAAGAATGAATGTTGCATGTTTTATGTTGTGTAATTCAAATATTTTGTATACTGAAATACAAGAATGATGTGTTTATCTGTTCATCATTTTATCTGTTTTATTTTTTCAAATACATAATACGTATGTATATATTCTAGGGCAAAATGCGTGAAATAACAACTTACTTTTACAAATTTCTTTATTATAACATTGTACTTTCAGTTTTTCTTATTACAACTATGTATTTTCAAAATATTTTTTATTAGAGCATCATACTTTCAAAAATTTACCTGTTATAGCGTTGGGTAACCTTTTTAAATTAAATTTATCCATTATACCATGTTTCTAGGTTGTCCATATGTACGATAGTACTGACATGATATTTCTTGTTATAGCATCGTACATTTAAAATTATTTTATTATATTATTATCAATTTTTATTACAACATTGTACTTTTAATTTTAATATTTTTATCATTTTAAACATTGTAAATTTTCCGACGTCTTTCAAATGAGATATTCTTTGATTCATTGTTCATTTGAAACACAAGGAACGTAAATGTTTGTTTTCCATGTTTATGTATATACGTGTGGTGTGGGCGTGTGTTCGAGTTGGCAAACTGAAAATCCATTCAGATTTTGGATATGAAAACCATCCCGAATTTTAGGTTTCGGCTTGCTTTGTTTTCGGGTTCGTGTTTAAATTTTACAAAATATAATTCTCTTGGTGGGTGTTTCGTTATGACAGAAGAATGAAAATGAAAATAAGAACGAATTTTCATTCCCCTAAGTTTAACATAGAATAAAAAATTGAGCTCATGAGGAAATGAACCCATTATAATATAAAAAATCAAACAGTTTCATTTACTTTTATTCTTATTAATTACTGCTTAATATCTCTTACCAGACACCCATTCAATTATTTAGTATAAAAAAAAGTGATGGATAGGTGGGATGGCAAAAATAATGGAAATCTGTCTTGATTGATGGAGTGTAGAAGAAGACAATTGACATCACTTTTTTGATGAAAAGAAGAAAGAAACCAAACAAATTAGGAAATAGAAAACAACTTGTCACCTTTTTGGTCCACTTGTAAATTTGTCATTCAATAATAACACCATAATAACCTCTCTCTCTCTCTTTAATCCCCGACCCCAGATCCCGATCGGTACAAGGATTAACATCTCGTTTCCGGTTTATTTTCTGGTCAAATCCCGATACTTGTCCCCGATCAACACCTAATTTAGAAAATAAATAATATATTTCTATATATACATATATTATTATATACCAGGTACAAGACGGGTCGAGGGTACAATACTCCGGCCCTACCCCAACCCCGGATTTACTCTACCATGGGTCCCCGACCTCGAGACACGTTTTAGTAGGGAATCCCCGTTCGGGTCGGATGAGTCGGGATCCCCACCGGATTGGGGGAAATCACTATCCTTAGTTCTTAACGATTTAAAGACACGTGTTATTTCATCAATGCCAAATTCTTTTGGTGATTTTAGGTGGTTATTTTGTGCAAATATGAAAAAAATGGTCATTTTCTTGCTTTCTTTATGTGTTCCGAATGGTTTGGGGATTGCTCCTTATAAATATATAATAATTCTAGTTTATAAGAACCAAACTCGAATTCTTATCAAGATTTTTCACGTCATATGCATGAGTTAATATTATTTTATTGATTTGAATTACGCTTGTTTCACTGAACAAAGTTTCATAATATTTTCGAGTTATTCGAATCCCATAATCTTCTTCATACCCAGTTCAAGTAGGCATCAAGAATGCTCGTCAAGTCATTAAATCAAGCTTGATCTTGGTCTAATACTACCGACCTAGTTTTTTTTTTGTGAAGTATGTAATATATTTTACATACGACAAATGCAACAAATAAACTCACACACCCTCCTCGCAATTGATGAGGTTTGAACTCCTGACCTCCTACGAGACAAAAAACTCAGATACCGCTAGGCCATAGGCCCTTTTGGTTTTACCGACCTAGTTGGCAACAAAAAGTTATGAGATGACCCATCGTAAAAATAAAAGATATTCAGTGAAATTAAACTTAATTACCTTTCATTTTGTTAGATGATTGATGACACATTGATTGTCGTTGAGTTAACTCCTATATGGTTTATTACTTAACATGTATAAAAACCGTGAAAATTTACTCAAATCTTGACTATATCAATGAATGTGACAATTTATATATAATAAGATAAAGGGTTGTTTATTTACCTATTAATAGTTTTATTAAGAGACAACATCTGAATCGTTAAGAGGTGAATCTTGTTTAGCAAAAAAAAGTTTTGCATCTTAATGGTTTCAAAACATTCTGAATGATTTTGTATCCTGGACCTCCCTTAACCATTCAGCGCCCCTAATTTCGCTGTAAACAATTATCAAACAATTTTATTTCATTTTGCATTATATTATGAGAGTCTCTTGATCATTATGGCCACTTAGGGCCCGTTTACTAAACACTTACTCGGGTAAGTGCTTACCAAGTCACATTACCTAACTAGATGGATATGGTAAGGACTACGAATCTTACCTGGTAAGAGCGAGACAAAAACCATGAGTCTTACCCGGTAAGTGAGGGCGATCGACTCTTACCATGGTAAGTGCTTACCTGGTGAATTGTTGCATACAATGTCGTTTTAATGGACTAAAATCTTACCCGGCAAGTAATTAATAGTGTTAAATTTTACAGGTAAACACTTATCGGATAAGTGTTTGGTAAACAACCCCTTAATCATTGTGCACCAAACCATTCAGCAACTGGCAAACAGCCAATTGTTTAAAGTCTAATAAAAAACCACATAGACTAATGAGATTATACTATGAAAATTAAAAATCAACATGTTTATCTTTATCTCAATAGTACGTTTCTTTACAACATGTTTTTAAATCTGATCGTTTTAACTCTAAACAGTTAAAAGAAACAATATCAAACCCAGTTTATTACTAAATACTTAAAACTGATTATTACAACTTCTTATCATAATTCAATGTTGCTAAACAAACCATCGTTGTTGAATAATATTACATCAAATCCAACATCTCAGTATTCATAACACAGTACAAAAAACAATGCATCCACTGAAACAGATGTAATGCACAAAATCAGTTATAATTCAAGATTTGGTGTATTAATTTAAAATGTGGTACCGTAACATTGTTATCATCGTTCTTTTTATATTTATTTAAAATTATATAAAAAAACAAAAAAATTATAAAATCAAAATTATTACCCAAAAAAAAAACAAAAAGAAAAACAAATGGAGTTAAAAGTTATGGATTCGTTTCATGGGTGTTTTTCATTTTAACCCCAAAAACATTTCATCCAAAGATTCATATAAAACCAGACTTCACTCAAACCCATTCGGGTTAACCCAAAACCCATTTCGATTTCGAAGAAAAAACTACAATTACAAGTATCGGGTTGTAAGAAATCAATGACAGTTCTAGGGTTTGAGTTTTGACTGATGAAAAATTGCAAGAAAGAAAGTTGGTGTGTGTGAAAACTGCACCTCACACATACTTGTAGGTGAGAGAGAAACAGGACCTCAGTGTTGAAATCGTCTGATTTCATACGATAACTGCGGGGGGATTCTTCGCCGTCGTCTTCAAGATCCATCCCGCTAGTGGCCCACACAATTTGATTTGAAGACAATTAAACCCCCATTTCTGAATTCCTGCAAACTTATCGGTGGTTTTTGGTTTAATTTGGGAAAGGGGGAAAAGGGGATTTTTTGATTTTTATACACAGAAAGTGGGTAGAGAGAGAAAATTGTAGAAGGGGGGGATCGTAAGGATAGCGGTTGAATTTTTGGAGGGATATGGATTTGTAGAGAGGAATTCAATTTTGGAATTTTGTTACTTGGAAAAAAAGAAAATTATAATTTTTTTGCATGCAATCCGGTGGCGGGGTCCAGCACGGAGGAGGAGGAGGTGGTGGTGGGCATGGGCGGAATATGGTGCCCGGACCACCGTCCTCCTCCGCATCTCCGTCATCTTCATCATCGGCTGTTTCTACTCCTCAGTTGGGTTTTGATCCAATGCAGCAACAGCAGCAGCAGCATAGGCAGGTTAGGGCTTTTTTACGTATATATAGCTCTATGTTGATTATGTTGAATTGTGGATTTGATCAGTTGGTTTAGTTACTGAATTTGCATTTGGTTGATAAATTGTTTGATTTGCTACAGTTAATTTAGGGTCTGATTGATTGGTTTTCCATTGTCATCAATGGATAAAGCTTAATCTGACTGTATAGATTGAGAAGGTTTTTGATTCAGACCTATTTTTAGAAGGAATGAACATGTTTTTTTTAATTGAGGAGGGCAGGTTTGGAAATTTTTGTGCGTTCTGCATAAAGCTACCCCCTAGAAGTTTACTGAATAAGGCACTTTCTATATCATTAAGCCATTACCAAACAATCATGTATAGCTGACAGAATAAGCTGTGAGTCCTGTTTAGCTCGTTAAGCTGCTAACAAACAAACCCTTAGTTTAAATATGAAATTATTTGGCTGAATTTTGGTTCCAATTGTTTAATCTTCACTAATTTTTGGTATTAATATCATCATATAATTGGACCTAAAAATATGAACTTTTGGGGAGTAACAATTTATTATAACAGAACCCATCAAAATCCGTATATTAATAATTGATTCTCAATCCAGTTTCTTACTTTTCCCCCTTTTATCATTGCAATAAGTTGAATTGAGATTTTTGAGTATTTTTAGTCTTGAAAGCATGATTTCTATTAAATATATGCTGATATGTTCACCATCAAATACTAATTTCGCTTGGTGTACTCGCGTGATCGTTCATTTACTTGCACACCCATTGGTCTGGTCTCGGTTTGGTAAGAATGTGCACCTTCCTTTATACTTTAAAGAAAAAGATATCAGACATTTAGTTTAGCTAACATCGTCACATTGGGTAACAGGTTTATATTCGTTTTGCATTTTGCATCTTGCATCTTTGCCTTAAGTTATGGATTATGAAAGATGAAACGGAATTTATACTAGCACATTGTGAATTTCTTGATCTTCAAAAGGATGCCATGATTAGGATAAGCACGTTGAAGGATTTGTTTATGGTGTCATATGATCGTTTAAAGGTTATGTGTGTGACTTTAGTACAATTTGGTACTTAAGTTTGTGACTAGCATGGTATTTTTTACGATATAGTTAGAGGATGTGGTAAAACATGAATGGGTAGATTAATCTTAACTAAAATGGCACGGGCGTGTTTCTTGCTCTGTAAAGGAGGGTTGGAAAAAGTTTCAAACCATTGTTAAGTAGATTCTTAAAACTAAAGGACGGTTTGTTGAAATGAGATATGCAACAACAAGAAGGAAAAAGGATTCATTTATCATATACTTCAAAAGAAAAGGAGAAGGATTGATAGAGGACAACTGAACATTTGAAAGATGTGTTGATATTGACGGTGATTCATTATTTCGTTGAATCATTTGTGCAGTGCATCCTAAAAGATTACTCCCTCCATCTCAAAATTGATGCCCACGATGAAAAAGGCACATGGTTTTAGAAGTGTGTAGTTATTACACTTTTTTGTTGACTAAATGACTATTTTACCCCTTAATAATAGAGAGAGTAATGAATTTCTCCATCTCATAATTAAGGGTAGAATTGAAAAGTAAGCACGTACTTTTGAAAGTGGACAATTATTTTGGGATGAACTGAAATAGAAATGTGGACACTTACTTTGGGATGGAGGGAGTACGAAGTAAGAATTCTTTTTTGCGTAACCGGTGGTTTGTTAACATCACGGATTGGTAAGGTTGGTTGAAGATTCCATTAGAAGTATCGTCAAAGCTTTCTCTGAATTAATATGCTTTTGTTGTTCTTTGAAACTGAGATTGTTACGGAGTGAAGTGATTAACATTTCTAATTGTTGTCCTTGGCTATTTGTTGCAAACCGACCATCACTTGTGCGGAAATTCAACAAAAAGAACGCTACATTTTCGATAAAAGCTCAAAAATTGCCAAGTACGATGTCTTCTTTTTGCGTTTCACTATTTATCGAGAACCTTGTTGCTGCAAAAAGTGGTGCTTTTTGTGTTCTTGTAGGAATGATGGTTGGTTTCCGACATAAATCCAAATATAATGGTTGGAAAAGTTCTTTTTTGAAATATATAATATTTATATACGGCAAATACTCATGCCCACTTCTCACTTTTTTTGAGGTTTGAACCCTTGACCTTCTGGGAGTCTAGACGCTGGCTGTTTGGTTGGTTTTCCATTAAGTCTTGTATGGATAAGGTTGTCTGTGTAGATTAATCTGTCTGTATAGATTAAAAAGGTTTTTGTTTGGGAGGGTTATCCACAAATGGAAAGAGCATGTTTTTAATTTGGGAGAGGCAGGTTTGGAAAGAATTTGTCTTTCTACATAAAGCTTCCCTTAGAAGCTTACTGAATAAGTCACTTTCTATGTTATTAAGCCACTACCAAACAGTCAAGTATAACTGAGCAGATAGGCTGTGAGTCCCATTAAGCTCATTAAGTTGCTAACAAACAGACTAACTCATATACCGTTGCACCAATGACCCTCTGGTTGGTTGGAAAAGTTGGTCGCTCCTTTGAAGCCTCATTCGGTCATACTTTTGTCTAAATTAGAACCGTTAGACACTTGGCATATCATTACACGAATTGGATTCTAAGTTTGTTTTTGTGGATGTTTTTGTAGTCATTGCAACAACAATTACTTCGAAACCCCGAAGGGAGAGAAGCTATGCTAGCCTATCAGTCGGGAAATCTGCAAGGAGTCTTGGGAGGAGGCGTCGGCATGAATCCTAGTTCTATGCAGCAGTTGCAGCGTGTTGCTCAGCAGCATGGCCGAGAGGAGGGGCAAAATCGCAATCAGGGTTTTGATCCACACATGATGAACCCTGTCCATCAGGCTTACGTTCAATACGCTTTTCAAAACCAACAGAAAACAGCTCTCGGAATGCAAGCCGCTCAGCAGCAAATGAGAATGGGGGCAGTGGGGGCGTCAGCTAAAGATCAAGACCCGCGAATGGGGAACACGAAAATGCAGGATCTTGTCTCGTTTCAGGCTGGTGGTGGGCAGGGACAGAGTTCGTTGTCCAAGAAACTGGCGGAGGAAGGGCACCAAGCGGTTTCTGATCAAAGTCAAAGTCAAAACCAGAAACATTTTGCCATGCCGACTTCAATCGGCCAGTTGATGCAGGGTAATAATAATACTACTAGGCCTATGCAGGCTCCTCAAGCTCCGCAGAGTATGACAATGGCTGCTCAACTGCAAGCAATGCAGGCTTTGGCTCTTGAACGTAACATCGATCTATCGCTTCCTCAAAACGCTAATTTAGTGGCCCAATTGATTCCACTCATGCAGGCTAGAATGCAAAAGGCAAACGAAAGCGGAATGGGCCCACAATCTATGGCGGGGTCCATGGCAAAGCAACAGGTGGCTCCGCCACACGTCGCTAATGAAAGCTCGCCAAGAGGAAATTCATCAAGTGATATGTCTGGGCACTCGGGCTCCACCAAAACACGACATAACATGCTAACGGGCCATCTTGGTTCAACGTCAAATTCTTTACTAGTCAACAACTCTAGTACCGGTCAAAGTCACGGTCAACAGCTTTCGAATCATGGCAGGGAGAACCAACTGCCGCCTAGGCAGCCCATGGCGGTCGGTGGTGGGGTGTCTTCCATGCATCCTCCACAGTCATCCATGAACATGAATCAGGGTTCTGACCATTCAGCGCTTGCTAAAAGCGCCTTATCGAGCCCCGAAACACTGCAAATGCAACATGCTAGGCAGCAGATCAATCGTTCATCTCCACAACCACAACCAGCGGCTTCGTCTGACAATGCTGGATCTGCAAACCCGTTACCGTTACCGTCTCAAAAGGGGCAAGCACCACGGGGGCAAGTACATTCGAACTTTACGAAACAGCAACTGCACGTTCTTAAAGCACAAATACTTGCTTTTAGGCGTATAAAGGTATGGTAGAGTGAGGTCCAGGGAATAAAAAAACTGAGGAACACCCTAATGACCATTCATCTGTACGGTATGCACATGTGCATACAAGTAATTGAAGATGTTTCCTGGTTTCTATGCATGTTATGCATTTGTGCATACTGGAAAATTACTTACAAATTACTTGTATGCACATGTGCATACCGTGTAGATGAATGGTTACTAGGTGTTCCTCAGTTTTTCAATTTTTTTGGTTTTACCGTAATAACCATTCATCTGTATGGTATGCACATGTGCATACTAGTAACTGAAGATGTTTCCTGGCTTCTATGCACGTATGTATGCTATGCACTTGTGTATACTGGGAAAAAGTTGCTTACATTTAGATGTATGCACATATGCGTACTGTGCAAATGAATGGTTACTAGGGTGTTATTTAGTTTTTCATTTTTTTGCGGTTTTCCATGAACTTAACACGGTATGGTAATTCAGTACTTCTATAAGTGAGTGACTGTTTGACCCATCTTAGTTGGTTTCTTATTGCAATCTAACAACCGTTCTTGCGAAATGACAGAAAATACTAGTTTTCAAGAATGAATGACCTTAAACACATTATGGAAATGTAAATGCAAAAAAAAAAAAAAAAAACCGTCTCACATTGCACTTTTTGTCCAAAAAGAATGATGGGTTTTACAAAAAAAACCCAAATTCGATGGTTCAAAAAGTCTGAATTTTCTTTTGGTAGATAACCTTTTCCCCTTTTCCTTGTGGACTTGTTGATATGGTTTGATGGCAGAAAGGAGATAAAACTCTACCGAATGAACTACTCCAAGCTATTGCCCCACCGCCCCTCGAAACACACACACAACAGTCGACTACTTCTGCGGGGGCAGTTAATCAGGATAGAGCTTCTTTGAAAAGTCAACCGGATGATAATATTAGACATCTAGAATCAAATGAAAAGGATCTTCAAGCCGCAACATTAACGGGTGGAATGAATACTATAAAAAGGGAAGCTTTCGAGGAGAAAACAACGGTTAATGCACAAGGTACAACATCTTTACTGAAGGAAGCACCACCCGTTGTTCTTCCCGCTAAACAAGAACAAGAAGTTGAACACGGCATTCAGAAGATTCCTCATGTAAGTGATACCACCATGGATAAGGGCAAATCGATCGCATCAGATTCTGCGGTTGTCTCCGAGAATGTTCAGGGTAAAAGACCTTTACAAGTGGGAAATCCACCTCAACAACCAAAAGATTCGGGTCCTAAAAAGTACCATGGACCATTGTTTGACTTTCCGTTCTTCACTCGAAAGCATGATGGTTTCGGGTCAAGCATGATGCTCAACAACAATAACAATCTCACTTTGGCGTATGACCTTAAAGATCTCATTGCTGAAGAGGGTATCAAAGAGAGAAACAAAAAGAGGAACGAAACTATTGAAAAGATTAGTGGTTTACTAGCGGTTAATTTGGAGAGAAGAAGAATAAGGCCGGATCTTGTTCTGAGGTTACAAATTGAAGAAAAAAAACTTCGACTTCAGGATCTACAGAAACGAGTGAGGGATGAAGTCGATCAACAACAACACGAGATAATGACGATGCCGGATAGGCCATATCGGAAATTTGTTAGGTTATGTGAACGTCAGCGAATGGAGCTCAACCGGCAAGTACAGGCTGCTCAGAGAGCTATTAGGGAGAAGCAACTGAAATCGATTTTTCAGTGGCGTAAAAAGTTTCTCGAGTCTCATTGGGCGGTTCGTGATGCAAGGACTCAACGGAATAGGGGGGTTGCTAAATATCATGAGAAGATGTTGAGGGAGTTCTCGAAGAAAAAAGACGATGATCGTAGTAAAAGAATGGAGGCTTTGAAAAATAATGATGTGGAGAGATATAGAGAGATTCTGCTAGAGCAACAAACCAGCATGCCGGGTGAGGCTGCTGAGAGATACGAAGTGCTTTCTTCGTTTTTATCTCAGACGGAAGATTATCTTAATAAACTTGGAAGCAAAATAACCGCTGCTAAGAACCACCAGGAGGTAGAGGAGGCGGCAAATGCTGCTTCTGCTGCTGCAAGAGCTCAGGTATTCTCTCTCCCTCTCTCGTGTGCACTCATCAAACTCATCAGCCAATGAACTTAAAAGTGTAAAAGGTTTTGGTGTTACAATTTTCATGCACATGTGATATTGGCATTTTCATATATATATATATATATATGTATGTATAAGTTTGTGTGTGTATATATATATACATACATACATGGGATCAAGTTCTAGGGAAAACCACGAAAATGAAAAACTGAGGAATACTCTGGTAACCATTCATCTGTAAGGTATGCACATGTGCATCCAAGTAATTTGTAAGCAATTTGTCTGGCATGCACACATGCATAACATGCACACGTGCATAAAAACCAAAAAGCAGCTTCAATTAATGTATGCACATGCATACCGTCCAGATGAATGGTTACCATAATGTTCCTCAGTTTTTCGTTTTTTGGGGGTTTTCCCCCGAACGACTCTCTCTCTCTCTATATATATAGAGAGAGAGGAAGGTTCAAACGAGAACGATAATTACTTAAGAAAACAAGAAAAAGGCCATTCATGTACAAAATCACATGTGACTTTGCCATGCGACTGAAGTCGCCCGGATCATGTATGATTTTGCACGTGAATCATATATGATTTTGTACATGAACGACTTTTTTCTTGTTTTCTTAAATAGTTAGCTTTCTCGTTTGAACATGCCCCTATATATGCGTGTGTGTTTATAGAAGTGGTTAAGGTTTTGAATTATCGTAAGTTATCTTTCTTGTTAAAAAATGCAAAAGGAAAACTGTAGTTTGTAAGAATGTGTGATTTATGTAATTTCTTATTCTTGCAAAGTGTGGTTATGTTTTCTGCTTTGTCACTTTTGCCTGGTAAAAAACACGAGTTTTTTTCAGTCAAAACTCAAGGGTAGAATTCATCTAAGTTCTATTAAGAACAATGGTTTATTTGCAATAGAAAGCCAAGGTTTGAGAAGTCAATCACCTATATATATATATATATATATAGAGAGAGAGAGAGAGAGAGAGAGAGAGACTTAGGTTCAAGGGAAAACCACAAACAAATGGAAAAATGAGGAACACCCTAATAACCATTCACTTGTCCGGTATGCACATGCACATAAAAGTAACTAAAAATGTTTCCTGGTTTATATGGACGTGTGCATGTTGTCAAGGTATTCCTCTGTTTTTCATTTTATGTGGTTTTTTCCTGAACCTAAACCTATATATAATGTCTATGTATAATTATGTATCGGAAATGAGAACCATAACTATTTTGAGAACTTGGGAACCAACTATTTCATTTATTATTCATGATGAATAAAATCCTAAATATTCATAAATATCATGCAATTTCATTATGAAACGTGAATAATTTTCGTGATGAATATCCTTCACAATAGTCATCATGAACAGTTTACGGTTCTCAAAATATTTACGGTTCTCATTTGAACTTGTCCCTATATATACATATATATACGTATGTATATGTATGTTTTTTATTGGCATGTATGTATTTCTTGTTTAATATTTCCTGTTTGTTGGTAAAGGGTCTATCGGAAGAAGAAGTGAGAGCTGCAGCCTCTTGTGCCGGAGAAGAAGTTATGATAAGAAATCGTTTCTCTGAAATGAATGCACCTCAGGATGGTTCATCGGTTAGCAAGTAAGCTCTTCGTGACTTCTACTAGGTGACGTAACTTGGTTATTTGCAAGATACTTTGAAAGTTGGAAACATATATATATATATATATGTGTGTGTGTGTGTGTGTATAGATATAGAGAGAGAGAGAGGGAAAGGAAGGTTCAGGGCAAATCCCCCCAAAGAATGAAAAACTACAGAACACCCTGGTAACCATTCATCTGGACAGTATTGCACATGTGCATACAAGTAATTGGAGTTGTTTTTGGTTTTTATGCACGTGTGCATGTTATGCACACGTGCATACCGGACAAATTGCTTTCAAGTTACTTGTATGCACATGTGCATAGCGTCCAGATGAATGGTTACTAGGGTGTTGCTCAGTTTTTTATTTTTTTACGGTTTTCCACTGAACCTGACCCTATATATATTTATATTTATGAATTTACTGAATGTGATAGAAATGAACAAAATAAACAAGTTTAAAGATTGTCCAACAGTACGCTTTTTTAAATATCTCTGTGAGACAATAAGCCGAAGCTCCCCTTTTTCTGGGATGTCCCATATCGGCCAACACTTTCTTGATAGGAAAATGTTGAAATAAGATCAATTTACACTTATTTACAAATGGGTCCTCTGTGATGCCATATAATTTGAATATCTTCAATTTTTCGACTTCCAGTAATCAATCAGGTAGTAGTCAGAATAGAATTTTCATGTATGAGAGGATCATTGCATTTATCATAGAGTGGAGTTAGGGGCTGTTCGGTTCGTTTTCCATCAAGTCCTGTATGGATACAGTTGCCTGTGTTGATAAAGTTGTCTGTATGATATAAGATAAATTGTTCTTTGGTTGATGTGCTGAATAACCAATCTAAATGTCAGAAATGACCATTTTACCCCTTAGTTGTATATCGGGTGCAATACTTTATCATATCGATCTTACTCTTTTTGTTCATCATGGTTTTCAACAGGTATTATACTCTTGCGCATGCTGTGAATGAACGGGTCATAAGGCAACCCTCAATGTTACGGTGTGGAACTTTGCGAGATTATCAGCTTGTATGTCGTTCTATCCTACACATCAATGGATTTCTGGCTATATTGATTAGGCATACAGATTTAATGGATTTTCTTGTGGTTGAATTTATATATGGATATCGTAATCAATTGATCATTCTTTCAGGTTGGGTTGCAATGGATGCTTTCATTATACAACAATAAATTGAACGGAATATTGGCAGATGAAATGGGTCTTGGCAAAACTGTGCAGGTATATGAGTCCCGCAAAATCGAGATAAGAAATGGATGAAAAGGGATAAAAGAATCGACATTTGTACTCTGGTTTTTGGGAAAAAGATCCCATTTTTGTGGTAGATAACCGTTCATCAATCAAGATTTGCTGACATCTTTTTCTGCAGGTTATGGCATTGATTGCTTATCTGATGGAGTTCAAAAGCAATTACGGCCCACATCTTATCATTGTTCCTAATGCCGTTCTAGTGAATTGGAAGGTTCGTTAATTTTCGTTGTGTTTTGATGAATTTTAATACTCCCTCCGTCCCAAAATAAATGTCCAGAAAGAAAAAGGCAAATGGTTTTAGAAATGTGTAGTTGTTACACTTTTTAATTAATTGACAATTTTATCCTTCATATAGAGGGAATAATTAATTTGCTGATCTCATAATTAAGGGTAGAATTGGAAAGTAGACACTTACCCAAAGTAAATGTCTACAACGAAAAAGGAACTCAATTAATTATTACACTTTTAAATCAACTAAATGACAATTTTACCCTTTATAATAGAGGGATTAATGAATTTCTCTATCTCATAATTAAGGGTAGAATTGGAAAGTAGACACTTACTTTTGGAAGTGGACATTTACTACAATGAAAAAGGCACATAGTTTTAGGAATGTGTAATTATTTCACTTTTTAATCAGCTGAATGACAATATTACCCTTTATAATAGATGGAGTAATGAATTTCTCGGTCTCATAATTAAGGGTAGAATTGGAAAGTATGCACTTATTTTCGAAAGTCGACGCTTATTTTGGACGGAGGGAATACTTTATGCCGCTCTAACTTTGTTTTCGACAGAGTGAGTTACATAGTTGGTTGCCGAATGTGTCCTGCATTTACTATGTCGGTAACAAGGATCAACGAACAAAATTGTTCTCTCAAGTAAAGATTTACCGCTTCTCTTCTTTTTTACATTTTCCGAGTTTTCTTTATGTCGACATTTTGACGACCGTGGAACGCTTATGTTTTTTGTTTTCTAAATTTAGGAAGTTTGTGCCATGAAATTTAATGTCCTCGTGACAACGTATGAATTCATCATGTATGATCGTGGGAAACTTTCAAGGGTCGATTGGAAGTATATTATTATCGATGAAGCACAAAGAATGAAGGACCGAGAGTCGGTTTTAGCTCGTGATCTTGATAAATACCGCTGCCAAAGACGGCTTCTCCTCACCGGGACCCCCTTACAGGTCTGTAACACCCTTCCATAACAATTCCCTTGATATGTACTACGGTTCTCTGCATCTCTTTGTGTTCGAAAGCTTTACAAACGCATCCATGCTTGCACATAGATACAACTACCCCCTTGTACCCCCTGGCGGTTGCTATTAATTATTAAACCAAACCAAACCAAACCAAACCAAACGAGCCCAATATATTGTTAATCATGCCACTATAGCGGTTCGCGGTCATAGGACAAATAGCGGTGGTCAAATAACGGTCCTACGATTAGTGCGCTATTGATTGCTAAATGACCGCATTTTGACCGCATAAAAGGAGCCGCATAACTGCTGTAGATAGGTTCTTTTGGTGTTAAAAAAGTAATTTTGTGGGCTTTTAGTTTGAGCCTGCATGGGGTTTTATTTTTTGTTCAACAATATTAAGCTTCGTTATTTTTATTTTTGGACTTGGACACGATTATTCTTATTTTTTTGGATTTTTTGGATTTGGACGCCATCACTTTGACTTCTACCTTCGGATAAAAGTATTGACATTGTTCGATTATTGTTTATTTGGACTTGGACATTATTATTCATATACATTTTTTATTGAATACATATAATATGTTGCATTATATATTTAGGGTCAGATTCAGGGTAGAACCGTTAAAAAATGAAAAACTGAGGAACACCCAGGTAACCATTCATCTGGACGGCATGCACATGTGCATACAAGTAATTTGTAAGCAATTTGTCCGGTATGCACATGTGTATAAACATGCACACAGTGCATAAAAACCAACAAATTGCTTACAAATACTTGTATGCACATGTGCATGCCGTCCAAATGAATGGTTACCTGGGTGTTCCTCAGTTTTTCATTTTTTGGCGGGTTTTCCTCTGAACCTCCCTCTCTATTTATACTTCTAATTATTATATGAACCACTATTTTTAGACCGCTATACCACTATTTTGCCATTGCGATAACCGCTATTTCAATCATGAACCTGATGGCGATTTCATATTTTGACCACGGTAACAACATAGATTATATCCCACTCCGAGGTGGGGTATGGGAGGGGTAAGATGCACATAGATCTGACCTTAATGACCATTGCCTTAAAGGGTAGAGTGGATGTTCCCATGAAGCCCCTCAGCTTGTGAGAATGTTGCTAATAATTACTAAAAAGATTTGCAAATCCCTTGAAAACATTCCTTCAAACCAAACAGGCCCTTAAAGATTTGCGAATCCCAGTTCTTACATACCAAGTTGCCTTTTTTTCCCTTTTTGTCTACTAGTTTCTAATTATTTCAAGATAAATGAACTAAACGCTTGGTCAATCATTGTTAACCAAGTCACTCTACTTTTTGAACGATCGTATTTGGCATTTCATTGCTGATATCCTTCTTGTGAAATGCCAAAGAACGCTATAGTTTGCGATTATTTTGAGAACCAATTATTCATGGTGAATATTCCTAAATATTAATGAATATCATGCATTTTCATACACACACATAAAGAGAGAGAGACACGCACACACATACGGACAGGTCCATTTGAGAACCATGAGAACCTTTTATTCATGAATTATTCATAATGAATATCATGAATAACGAAGATGCATGATATTAAAGAATGTTTAGGTATATTCATCGCGAATAATTCAAGAATAGTTGGTTCCCAAATTATTTTCTGTTCCTAAATGAAGGTTCTCGTATATACGTATATATATATATATATATATATATATATATATATATAATGTATATGCGCACACGTGTGTGTGTACATTACCTACTAACCCCATATATGCATACAACATACCTTTTAATGGTATATTATTCAAGTTGATGATGAACAAAATGTGGTTACTTTTGCTTCTACAGAACGATCTTAAAGAACTTTGGTCATTATTGAACTTACTACTTCCGGAAGTTTTTGATAATCGAAAAGCTTTTCACGATTGGTTCTCAAAGCCGTTTCAAAAAGAAGTTCAGAGCGCCGAGGATGATTGGCTAGAGACCGAGAAAAAGGTTATTATTATTCACCGACTTCATCAAATCTTAGAGCCTTTCATGCTCAGACGTCGTGTAGAAGACGTCGAAGGTTCACTTCCTCCAAAGGTATGCTTACTTTTGCAACATAGTTTTGTTTCTTAATGACTGTTGACTTTTCGAACCATCGTACTTTTTTTTTGAGTAAATTACGATTTTCGCCCCTGTGGTTTGTTAAAAATTGCAATTTCTGTCCGTGGTTTAGAAATTGTGGTTTTCGTCCCTATGGTTTGTAATTCATTGCTGTTTTGCCCTTATGATTTACAATTTGTTGTTGTTTCGGTCCCCGTGGCTTACAATTTTTTACTGCCTTGGTCCTTTGTACTTAAAAGGTAGGAATTAGTCTAGGGACTAAAATAGCAATAAATTGCAAACCGTACTTTGGGGCAGTAACTCAAAGTGGGACAGTCAAAAAGCCCAAAGGCCAAAAAGATGAGGACGAAATTCGAAAATATTAACAAACCACGGGACAAAAATTGTAATTTATTGTCTTTTTGTTTAAAGAACTGTCGGTTTTGCCAAAATGAAGGAAATAAAAGTTTACTTCCACCACGGACCGTACTTTTGAATAGAGATGCATAAAAAACCCAATACCAAGGCCTGGCCCAGGTTTAGCCCAAGCCCGACCCAAACAAGCCCAGGCCTAGTGTGCCCGAAGCTTGGTCTGGGCCAGGCTTCAAAGCCTAGGCCCGGACCGAAAAAGCCCAACCTGAAAAAGCGCGGTCAAGCCCAGCCTGAAAAAGCCTGATCGGGACCTTTTTCAACCCTAAAGCTTGCTCACTGAAAATGGGGTTGGAAGGCCCGGGCCCATGCCCAAAAATGCAACAAAGTTTGCTTTAGTTCTTAGGGTCACGAAGACTTTTTTCTCAATCGATGTAATAAAGTTCCAGAATTTTCTATTTTGTATCCATTTTGACCGGTAACCTGCTTGATCTTGTAATATTTGATGATATGAGTACCCTTTTACAAAAAGGTTACGACGAAGTGGAAGAAAAAGTTATATCCACGTCATCAGATGTTACAAGATCAGCAGGTTATCGGTCAAAATGGATGGATACAAAGTAGAAAATTCTGAAACTTCGTTACATCAAATACGAGATTTTGAATGGCTGAGGTCTGATATTAAATCTAATTATATTGCAGATTTCAGTCATTATGCGGTGTAAAATGTCGGCTATTCAAGGGGCTGTGTATGATTGGATCAAATCTACGGGTACTATTCGAGTTGATCCTGAAGACGAGAAACGTAGAGCTCAAAAGAGTTCTATGTATCAAGCAAAGACGTATAAACCGTTAAATAACCGGTGTATGGAGCTTCGGAAAGCTTGCAATCATCCGTTGCTCAATTACCCGTATTTTAACGATTTCTCCAAAGATTTTCTCGTTCGATCGTGTGGGAAATTATGGATTCTTGATCGGATTTTGGTAAAGCTTCAAAGAACCGGGCATCGAGTTCTGCTTTTCAGCACGATGACGAAACTTTTAGATATTTTGGAGGAATATTTGCAGTGGCGGAGACTCGTGTACCGAAGAATCGATGGTACGACGAGTTTGGAAGATCGGGAATCGGCAATTGTGGACTTCAATAGCCCTGATACGAATTGCTTCATCTTCTTGCTTAGTATTCGTGCAGCCGGGCGTGGTCTAAATCTTCAGACGGCCGATACGGTTATAATTTACGATCCCGATCCGAACCCGAAAAACGAAGAGCAGGCGGTCGCGAGAGCTCACCGAATTGGGCAAACGAGGGAAGTGAAAGTCATTTATATGGAAGCAGTGGTCGATAAAGTTTCGAGTCATCAGAAAGAGGATAACTTCAAGAATGGAGGGTCGGTTGATTCGGATGATGATCTTGCCGGAAAAGATCGGTATATCGGATCGATCGAGAGCCTAATAAGAAACAACATCCAACAGTATAAGATTGATATGGCTGATGAAGTTATAAATGCCGGGAGGTTTGATCAGAGAACGACGCACGAAGAGAGACGTTCAACTTTGGAGACATTGTTACGGGATGAAGAACGGTATCAAGAAACGGTTCACGATGTTCCTTCGCTTCAAGAAGTCAACCGTATGATTGCGAGAAGCGAGGAAGAAGTTGAGCTTTTCGATCAAATGGATGAAGAGTTCGATTGGGCCGAGGAAATGACACGATACGACGAGGTTCCGAAGTGGCTTCGTGCCGGTACTCGTGAGGTCAATACTGTAATTTCCCGTTTGTCTAAAAAACCGCCGAAGAACATGTTATATACGGAAAACATCGATGTGGAATCGAGCGAAGTGGCTTTGGATGGTACCGAGAAAAGAAGGGGACGATATAAAGGTAAGAAGTTTCCGAATTATGCCGAATTGGATGAAGATATCGAGGAGTTTTCGGAAGCTAGCTCCGAAGAAGAAGTTGGAGAGCTTGAAGACGATGAAACCGTTGACGCTAACGAAACTCCAGCAACCGTGAAAAGCCAATCGGAAGACGATGTTCTGGCTTCCGTTAATCGTTACGAATATCCTCGCCCACCTAATGCTATCAAGCTTCAAGAAGACGGTTCTTCGGGATCGTCTTCCGATAGTCGAAGATTGATGCCGATCGCAACTCCTTCGATTTCTTCTCAGAAGTTCGGTTCACTTTCTGCATTGGACGCAAGGCCCGGTTCTCATTCGAAAAGGCTGGTATGTATTCTTTTTGCTCGAAATCGACATGTTTTTTATGAACGGATTATAGCATCTAATTTCTTATCCGATAACGTATTAAACTAGCATGATGATCTAGAGGAGGGCGAGATTGCATTTTCCGGAGATTCTCATATGGAACTTCAGCAATCTGGTAGTGGAAACCACGATCGTGATGAAGGTGAAGATGAACAAGTTTTGCAACCGAAAATAAAGCGGAAACGTAGCATTCGGCTTCGGCCACGGCAGGCTGTTGAGCGGTTAGAAGAAAAGCCGACTCTTCTTCGTGGTGATACTTCTCAGTTACCCTTCCAAATGGACCGTAAACTACATGTGAAAACCGAAATTGAGCAAAAACCGGTGGTTGATCACACCGAACCTTCCATGAAGACCAAGCGAACTCCGCCTACTCGAAAAAACGCAAATAAGGCGAACGTTCATGTTGCGGTGAGACCAACTAGAGGAAATTCCCTTTCTGCCCCTTCGAAAGATGCTGCCGAGCATCCGAAAGAAAGTTTGGATGCTAAAGTCGGACCTTCGATTGGTGGGACCAAGATGTCCGATGCTATCCAAAGACGGGTACGTATTTGATAATTTGCGTAACTAATACGTTCTTTTGTTAGTTTATCTTTTGTGTGGCTCGATTTGTAAATGTCCGTTACTCCCTTCGTCCCAAAATGGATGTCTGCACTAAAAAGGGCACACCGTTTTTCGAAATACGTAATTATTGCACCTTTTAATTAATGAAATGACTATTTTACCCTTAATAATAGAGGGAGTAATGAATTTCTCCATCTAATAATTATGGGTAAAAATGGGAAACTGTTGATTAGTGTCTACTTTCCAATTCTACCCTCCATTACGAGATGAATAAAGTTATTGCTTTCTCTATCATTAAGAGTAAAATCGTCATTTAGATAATTAAAAAAAGTGTAATAGTCGCATGCTTTCCAATTCTACCCTACTTTATAAGATCTGATTATATGTTTCCGGGGCCGTCTAATTTCTTAGCTAATCGTGCATCGATGTTATGGTTCCCGCTTGTAGTGCAAAAACGTAATAACCAAGATTCAACGGAGAATCGACAAGGAAGGCCAACAAATCATTCCGCTGCTAACGGATTTATGGAAGAGACCCGAAAGTAGTCTTCTTGATCTACGCAAGATCGAACTCCGTGTCGATCGACTCGAGTACCATGCGGTTCCGGAATTGATCTCTGATGTGCAGCTTATGTTGAAAGGCGGAATGCAGTATTTCGGATTTTCACATGAGGTATGGCTGCTCGTTTCGATTTTATACACTTCAATATTCGTTTTAGTGTTTTAATTTGACGTGGGTAGTTTAGTAATTTGTCAGTCTTATCCAATCTCTGATTTTAGTTCTAATTTTTTTGGTGGGATAGAAAATATGCATTTTTGTCCCACTTAGTTCCTGTCCCCGTCAAATGTGTGGGACCACACAGCAAACGTGGGACCCACATTTGCTGTTACTTTAGACAGGGACATGACATGATTGAGTCAGACAAAAATGTATTATTTTTTGTCTCACCAAAATAAGTGGAACTTAAACAAAGGAAATTAGACAAGATTGGTAAATTACTAAACTACCCTCAAATTAAAACCTTGCCCAGAAAATTCCGTCTTCTATTTCTTATTGTATTTGTTTTGGTTAACAGGTGAGATCCGAGGCAAGAAAAGTGCACGACTTGTTTTTCGATATATTGAAGATTGCGTTTCCCGATACAGACTTCCGAGAGGCCAGAAGTGCGCTCACTTTCTCCGGCTCCATAGCCGCATCGGCTTCATCTCCTAGAGGCGTACCGCCTTTCGGTCAACCCAAGCGACAGAAGCAGGTGCTCGAGGTCGAGCCCCAACCGAGCCCTTCCCCACGGTCGCACCCTCGTGGGTCCGGACCCATGGCTCAGAGAGAAACCAGGTTCGGGAATAGCAGCACCCGAGACTCGGCCGACCCTCAAGATGAACCCAGACCTTTCACCCATCCCGGTGAGCTCGTAATCTGCAAGAAGAAAAGGAAAGATAGGGAGAAATCATCAATGGTGAAATCGGTTTCTCCTACCGGCATCGGTCGGGAAATGAGGAGCCCGGGTCAAACCCGATTGAGTCAAAGTCAACAGGGATGGCAGTCTCCGTCTCAGCCACAAGGAAGCGGGATTGGTTGGGCTAACCCGGTTAAGCGGATGAGGACCGATGCCGGAAAAAGGCGACCGAGCCACCTGTGACAATTTCAGGTTCGGGTCCGGGTCAACACTTGTAACTTATCATTGTCTGTCGGTCGGTCGGTTTGTTGATCTGTTAGTACTAGTGTCGATGCAGAACGTACAAGGGCCCGAAGCTTAGTGTCGATATGTAAACATAATTAAAATCCCTCTTTTTGGAAAGAGATTTCCATTTATATTGAATGTTATCTATCTATATGCCCATATTCTTGGGGTTCTTTCTATGGACGATGCCTTCAGGGACACAAATTTGGGTGGGACGTAAAACCAGTTCCCGTCCCACCAATCATTACAATAGGTTCATCCTATTGGTTATTTAAATAAGTAGAAAACCGAGGAGATCTGTAGTTGCTACGTTGCATTTCCGATCAGGGGCAGCGCAACCACTACAATTTTCCGACATAGTTGTCTTTTACGCTCGTTAAGAATGTCGTCGTTTTATACTACAGTACAACCATAAAAATAACCTGTTCCGGTATCGGTCTTTCGTATAAAATTTTATGCAGAAGGCTAATGACACCCCTATGAAGTACTAATGACACCCCTAAAATCTATTTAATCATTTATTTTTTTACTTTTTTATTTATTTTGTCTTTTTGTTGTTTTCTTATTTAAATTGATTAAAACATATATATTTATTACCTTTGGTTTTTTCTTATATATATATATATATATATAT